TCAAGGAGTGAAAATTCCGTATTTATATGAAATGTATTAAGACTGAATGTAATTTCAATTATTAGCCTTATCAACCTATACATGAGTACCACATATTTTACCTTTGAGGGTAAGTTATATGAAGAAACACAAGGATTAGCGATGGGATCGTGCCTGGCTCCCATGCTGACGAACAATCAAATGGCAAGACTAGAGGAACACTTTCTGCAAGAGGCAATACTAACCCCCAAATTGTTGTTTAGATACATGGATGACTATTTAGTCATCTGGCCTCATGGTGAGGACAGTTTAGATAGTTTCCTACTTTTGCTCAAAGAGCGTGAAAGGGACATTATGTTTACGATGGAAATGGAAGATAATAAGTCCTTACCTTTTTTGTTTTTTTTCTTCATTATAGAAGAGGGTAAGTTAGGAAGAGATGTTTACAGGAAGCCAACATATGTTGGCTTTTTGCTTAATTTTTTTTTCCAACCATAGTTACAAGACCAAGGTTGGAATTTTAAAGTCAATGATTCTTAGAAGTATGAGGCTAGTGGATAGCAAACATTTGACTGAAGATTTGAAACGTCTGACAAATTCATTCCTGAAAAACAATTATCCTTTGGGCCTTATTGAGAATAATATCTCTCGACTGAGAAATAAATTTTCAGACGGAGACCATTTAATCAAAGAGAGACAGACTGAGACTTTTTGCCATGTCCTAATTTCTCTCAAAAAGATAGGCGAATTAGTGAATAGTTGAGGCATAAAAACCGTGTTCCAAAAAACTTTCACACTTTCTTCTATTATGCCATCTTTTAGAGAGATATATGACACATTCTCGAGATCCGGCTGCTACAAAATTGTTTGCTAATGTGGTCTATGTTATGTTGGTGAGACATGCCGATCTATTCGACAAAGATTGAGAAGGTAGCTGGTTCCAACGGTCAGAGGTGTCCAAACACATGGCAGAAACTGAACATGAAATAGAATGGTCTCAAACTAGTAGGTTTGCTGATTATGGCACATCTGATGTTAACTGAAATATAAGAGAGGATATTAAAATTAATAGCTCAGAAAATACGTTAAATGTGAGAAGGGGTGGTAGAAAGTTGAGTAGTAACTACTTTTGCTTGATTGATAGATTGAAGGAGAGAGAGGGTGTTGAGCCGCCGTCAAAAAGAAGGCGACTCAACTTGTCTGTTCGGTGATGTTTCTAACTTCATCCGTCCTCATTTGGTGAGATCGACCAACGAATCTCTTCTTCATCCGAAATGAAAGTCCCCCCAGAAATGTATTAACTCTGAATCCTTAAGGATGATGAAAGTCATTTCTTCCAAAGTTGTATTTGCCTTATTAAACGAATACATTACTTATTTTTCGTTTATAAGTAGATTATTAAGACGGCTAGTAGACTATATCTATAAGATGATTGCAGTCTCATTTCCTTTAACATCACACAAAGAAGGGGCAGTTGTACAACGAAGAGATGCCGTTCATCTCCGCTTTATTCTATTAATGAATAGCTCAGCTCACTATTCATTCATGCATATATTCAGGATCTATGGAAATTTTAGTTGCTCTAAGATCTTAAATAACTCACCTTAGCATAGCAGTTGCATACTAAAGGTTCCACATCTGCAAGAATGTAAAGGGAGTAAGCAATTAAATCACGGATTTCCCCAATGCGATTTCATAATTAGACTACGAGGAGTAAGCTGAGTTGAGGTTTATCACCTTTCTTAGTTTCTAGTTTTTTTTAATAATAAGGACTCGAGCCAAGTGAAACAAAGTTCGCAGCACGGATAGATCGAGGTCGAAGGAGTACTTCGCAACTTTTTGGTTTCTCATACGGCCAATTTTATTTAACTTTCATTAGGAATGAAATTTCCAGTGACATGAAATTATGCAAACTGAGCAGCTTTACGCATAAACACACAGTCCTCTATGTAAACGAAAATCCCCAAAAAAGTGATGTGCTTTGATAAAATGCACAAATTTAAGGCGATTTTATAGCGGATAATTTCATTTTGCGTATATGAAAAAAAACTGAGCTTCAAAGAATCCATTTCTGACTTATTGTCACAAAGAAGTCCTCGACTCACTGCCCGGCGACCCCGATGAATCTGTGCTAAACTTTCGTCTGTACCACCGTGGCAGACAGCCTCAGAGCAAGAATCCATTCTTTAAAAACTGGCTTTCTTTAAGAACCCCGATTTCGTTTAGGGTGATGAATGACTGACAATCGACCTTTTCCACGACCATATGAATAGAACTCACGTTTACACTTAAGTTCGCATAACCTTGCTTCCCAAAAGGTATTATCGTCCAGGATGGACTGTAGTTTAAACCTCGCCTAGGTCGCCTGAGCACCCGAGAGGGATGCTTAATCACATAAAATGTAACCTTGCCATTTCTACATCAGTCCCATGGAAAAATATGAGTTGAGGGATGTCTCAAAATCACCTCTACCAGTTGACATCTGACGTATGTGGCAAAGGTGCCTTTGGAAGTTCTGGAGCTTACTGCAAAGCTGAATACATTACAACGAAATCGTGACGCTTTCTAGGCATCCCATTGCCCCAGATGTGTGTTTCTGTCATTTCCAGGCCTGCATTCTCCGACGAACACTCCTACGACCACGATTCCTGACTTGGAAAGCACCATCAGAGGGCGTAGTTACGCTTAAGAGAGCCTCTTACGCTCTACCAATTGTGATTTCGAAGGCCTGTAGGGTTATGCATCGAAAGGTCTGTCTCGCGGCAAGTTCATGTGTTTAGGCCAAAGACGATATTGGCCCTCGTGGAAGGGCTGACAAATCTCTTTCTTGTCCAATTCTTTGAGACCAGGTTAACAGCAGGCCAAAAATGGAATGAAGTGGAATGCCTAACGCACGTTATCTGGTGGGCTGTCGAGTCTGTTTTGGCCCGAGATACAATCACGAGATCTGCGTGTTTTCGTCCAAATAGCAACTCGCGAACAGAGCATATTGAGGGGACACGAAGCAGGCGAACGTCGGCCGTGGTCAAGGAAGCCTTCGAGATGCCCCTCTAACCGGTGGGCGTCTGGACACGGAAGGTTGATGGATGAGGGGTAGGGCTGGACGGAAGAGACAAACGCGTGGACAGAGACAGCGGGACACGCACAGGTTTCTCAAACAGTAGGTCCCGGGACGAGATAGGAATCGGTTACTGCCAGTTTTGTCAAAAATGATGTGTGATAACTGAGACGGGTCCAGACTGTGAGGTAATTAGGCGAAAGGTGTGTGTACGTGTGTGTGGTTTGCATGCAGAAGCGAAATTACCCGATGGAGCATGAGGCTGTAGAAGGAGCAGCAAGTCGGTGCGGGTGTGACTAAGGGAGGCGAGTCGTGCTGAGTTGACGGACACATTTTTCCACTTAAGGACACGACTGGACTGATAGGAAGTGAATTTATGATTAAAAACTGGAATTTTCATGAAAAGTGTTACTGGTGGGTGGATAGATAGATGGCAGGACGAAAAGATGGATGAATAGACCAATATGTCTAGCTGGACACAGAGAAAGCACGGCCAATCACAAACGCACACACAATTACACATACAAGTATGAACACATAAATACCGAAGTGTAGGCGTACAAACATACATATAATACTAAGTGTATTAGAGAATTCCTTGCCTCTTGTCTTGGCCAAAGCCAAATTGGGCGG